AAAACAAAAAACAAACAAAAAAAAACAAAAAAAGAAAAAAAAAAAAAAAAAAAACACGGTCCCTGTTTGTTTGGCGCCATGTACACGCTAGCTAAACCCTAAACCCTCAAGCCCAAACCGCCTTTTACGTCTTCAACCCCAAGCCCAAACCCTGAACCTTACAACCCAATGCCTGCAGACCCTGCGAAGCGCAAGTCCATGTTGGAAGACGTCTGCTGGCTGTTCGCGCCTCATGTTCTTTTGGACCACCCCCGGGGGCTTGAGTTTAAGGGCTTTATTGCATCCATACATCTCAGAAACACACCGAAATTAAGTTCATACCGGTTATGTTCCCCACTTGCGTACGCGTTGTACTGCAGCATGCCTGAAAGCAAACTACCGCAGTGAGAACACAGCTAAAAATGGTGTACTGTGATCTGAACCATGGAATGCCCTCTTCTCAACCTGTCTGAACCGTTCACTGTTATCCTAGGAGTTACTTCGCTAAAACGCACAGTACGTGCGCCTTCGCAAGCCTTCTCAACAGATTGCATGATGGACTTGCAAGATAACCGAGACCCTTCGAGATCTCACGAATATCACGACAACGACGAGAAGAATACAACATCAAGCCGGGAAAAATCGCACCCAGATGTTGGGCCGCAGCGCGAAGCAACACAGGAAATTGTCCTGACAACCTCACAACAAAGTTTGCTGAAGGCTGAGCACGACATTCCCCCTGGACTTTCAAAACATGTATGAATCTCCTCGCACCCTTGGTGACAACCCTCCAAATGGCACATACGAGGGAACCTTGCTCCAAGATTATGTTCAAGGACACCGGGTTCCGTTTTTGGATATGGAAGAATCAGCGAAGGTTTCTACCTAATTCAGAGATTAACACCATGTATACTCTGTGGGACCAACACCTATCTGCATGTTCTCAGTGGCAAGTTCAGGTGACATGGATAAATCGAGGGCGCATGAATGCATGGTGCTACAGGACAAAAGCGGCTCTTATTTGGTACAATTATCTAAACTTTAGAGATGTGGCAACACTTCAACAAGAAATCCCGTCATGTTCTGTTGGCAGCGATTGAATGCAGACCGTCTCAACTTTTTACTCCCAAAAACCAGCAACGGTCCAATTAGCTTGAAGTACTAATTTGGATTGGGTCATTTGCAGTTTCAGCTAAAGATCCTTACGTTCAGCTGCATTCAAAGCTGTCAACTGTAGTCAAAGTTGCCTGCAATGTTTGAACAGAAACATGTACCAAACCCAAACCCGAAACGAAGTGGGCTTCACGGGTTTCTGACACCTAACTGGAGCTTTGTTCTAACAAAGATCAGTGAGAAGCTTATACAGGTTATGGAGTCTATACGGAAGGTATATCGGCCTTTTATAATCTCCCTACATGATCATTCCCCTCCTTTACTTACCTAAACCTAAGCCTGATACACATTAAACCCTAAAGACTGAGCCCGCAAACACACTGAAACCCTCAACCTCCCAAACCCTCAAACCCTCAAACCCCCCAAAACCGTCATGGGTTGTGGCGGGTGCCTAAAAGTTCGGGGGGTTGGGGTTTGCAGCGTTTAAAGGTTTGTTGTTTGTTCTTTTGGGAGGCAGGGGCGCTCTGTGGGTTTAGAAGCTTGCTTGTGCAGTGTGGAGTCTTGAGTTTTGGGCGTCGAGATTTTCACGCTTTAGGCCAAGGCAGTTCAGCTTGAGGCTGTTGTAAAATCCAAGTTGCTTTTGGCCTTGTGACCCCTGGACTAAAGTTTTAGTATGTTCCTTAATAGGTCCCCCCTTAACCCACTATATGTCCCCCTATAAATGCCCCCCGAGCTAACTTTCGTCTGTAGCTCATGTATGCCGCATGTGCACGGTTTTTCTTTGGACACGGAAATCTGCTATGTAATTCGGAGGTTACCACAAGATATACTTTGCTGTGCCAATTCTTATCTACTGGTCCGCAGTGGCTGGCTATATCAAGGGAAACTGACTAAAAACGGACTAGTCAAGGGGTCATGAATGAGTGGCGTCAGAAGACCGCAAACGTATCTCCTTTCAGAAAGTAACGCGGTTATCGAAGTGTAGAAGGCTTGTAGAATTTCAGCAAGACCTGTCCTGTCAAGCTGTCGTAGGCTCCATTGACGGCGATTGCGTGCAAGCCGCTTTAGTTTTTTGTGCTGGGAAAAGACGCCACGACCGATGTTGCAGTGATATGTCACGATGAAAGTTGTTGGAACTTTCAGCTAAAGATGCTCATCACTTTCATCTGTGGCAATAACCCTTGAAAATCTTTGAACAAGCACTGAAACCACGCGCAAACCCCAAATCGAAGTGGGCCTCATTTTTTCCCTTATGAGTCTCACTGGAGTTGAGCTGTAGCAAGTACGCCTCCCAGTAGAGTGCAACAGCTGGTCACACATTCAGCTAAGGACAACCTCAGGCTTACAATCCCGTATCCACACAAACAACTTGAAAAAACAATGCCGTTTGTCTAGCTGACTTGGAACCAGGAACAGTTACCACAACAGGAGAAGGAGCTATAATAGCCCCGCAACAGAACCCCTTGCTGTGAGAAGGCATGACCCAAGGCTTACAACAAGAAGTCTGCTCCTTAAAAAAGACCTTATTTTCGGAGGACCCCCCACCCTGCAATCGTGGTATAATAGGAATATAAGAGGACCCTAATATAATCCTTATTGTCTCTCATAGTCACTATTACTAGATGGGGGGTCCACCTGAATCATCTCTACTAAGGTCTTCCAAAGGATTTTAGGGTTTGGGACGTCAGCAACTTTTACTAGATCCCAAATCAAGTATATGAGCATACTCAGGACCCTTCACAGGAAAAAGCCCCGAATTTTGGAAACCACCGCTGCGGAAAAAAACAAAAAAAAACAATGCTAAATATAACCCCGACCATCATGTAGCTATGGCAAATTTGGCTTACCAAAGCCCTCTTAATTGCAAACTCTGATTGATAAAAAGCCCTGAAACCTAAACCCTACATCGCCCATCTCTCCCTACATACCCTTAATAGTAATTTCCATTTTATTTTCCCCTTAAGTAGATAGAATATGCGGTATATGAGGATCTTAGTATGATATACCTAAAGCCATATCGTATCCACGTAAGGGGGACTCTAACCCCAATATTATCCAAATGGGTACCTATATCCCCTAAACCGCGCGTTTCAAGGGACCCCTAGTCTTGGAATCTTAGGGTTTAGGGGTTTAGGGGTTTAGGGGTTTAGGGGTTTAGGGGTTTAGGGGTTTAGGGTTTAGGGTTTAGGGGTTTAGGGGTTTAGGGTTTGGGGTTTAGGTTACATATCGGGACCCTGTTTGTTCATTGCCGTGCGGGGGAGGGATTTGTGAGCATGGGGAAATTCCTTATCCCCCCGAACAGGGCTTACCACCAAGAACGGCCCCAGCTGTAGAGGCCCGTTACAAGTGGGTAGTTTACTGCATTCAAGTCATTCAAGCTTCCAAATTGCGTGTCGTTTTCTGAGTCCCTAAACCCTAGACCCTAACCTTGTCACCAGGGCCTGCTTGCCTGTTTACCGTATCGGGGCGCATTCCTCTTCCAACACATGGCAATCCAGACCCTGCGCGCTGCAAATTCTGGGGCCACATAACCTATAGACTCAACTCCCAGTATCCCCCTTGATAACCCCCATAGTAGTCCCCCTTCCCATATGTAATCCCCTAGATAATCTCTATATACCCCCCCTTTAAGGAATTTTGACCGTAGCTCAGGTAACACAAACCGCAAACCTAGAACCTAAACACTGAACCCGAAACCTTAAACTCTACTCTCAACTGAAAACCTGCAGGGGATGGCACACACACATCCCACACCGTCATGTGGCGGGCTGAAGAAAAACCAATAATGGCCTGAATACTTCGAATAGGGTTGAGGATCTAGGAATTCAGGAACTACGTAATGAGAATAATGCAGAATCAAATGAAAAAGAGAATGAAAAAAAAGTGGAAGCTCGAAGTATGTCGTGGTTTATAGGGTGCTTGATGTGGAAGCCTGTATAAGAACCAATACTATTCCCTTATCATCCTCCTAAGACCCTGGTCATGGTTACTCTATACCCAGAAATCAAGTCCTATTTGGGTCCCGAAACACTACTTGAGTTTGGAACCTTTTGACATCCTGACTTCCCTGGTACCCCGGACTTCAAGACCACACTTTGGGGGTTTAGGGTTTAGGGCCCTAAACCCTAAACCTTAAACCAAACCCTTAAGCCCCAGAAAAGAAATGCCAGGCAAACCAAGACCAGTAAAACTGTGACCTGCATGCAACGAGGCCCACACTGCCAGCTGATCCAGAGCCTTCCAGCAGAAGGACGACAGCTGTGAAATTTCTGGCTTCGGGTTTAGGATTTGAGGTTTAAGTTTTAGGGTCTAGGGCTTAGCATCTAGGATTCAAGGTTTAGGATTTCGGGTTTAAGGCTTTGGGCTTAGGGTTTGGGGTGACATTGCATGTTACTCCAGGCTTGGACCTCTTTCGCACCATGGTTCATGGGATCGAGAGTTATAGCACAAAAACCCACACTGACCATTTCTTGATAACTTCGGAAACTCAAATTAAGCCCATCTGGGACTAGTGCCAATCACCATTTGAAGTGCAGTCGCCTTGCCATGTGCCCCCTAACCCCAAACTCGAATCCGAAGTCGCTGAACACTACAGCCTCAAACCCTCAAACCCTAAACCCTCATCCCTAAACCCTGAACCCTGACCCCTGATCCCGAAACCCCGTACCCTACTCCCGAAAACCTAATCCCTAAGCCCTGATTCCTAAACGTTAATCCTTAAACCCCAAGCCCTGAATCCTGAATCCATCATTGTTTCCGCACAATCGATTCCTGGCCTCCCGGGGCCCCAGCTTGGAGTTTTAGGATTTAGGGTTTGGGGTAGTTTGGGGTTTAGGATTTAGGGCTTAGGCATCTCAGTACTAATAAAAATAGTAATAAGAATAATAATCACAATAATAATAATGACAACGATAGACATAATGGTAACAGCACGAACCATACTTGGAATAATCACGTCACGGAGGATCCGCAGTAACCCAGGACTAAAAGGCCCCTTCTTGAGCAGAGCTTGTTTTACAAGGAATTTAGGACCTAAAAAAAGGAAAAATTGCTTCATCAACACCCCTGCCTCCACTGAATAAAAACTACCCACCCTGCTAATCATAAAGATGTCCCCTGCGACTACGAAACTACGAG